TCGGTTTCAATTGGAAAAGTCAAATATTTTCAAATCGATGTGGGTATTGTGGTGAGTATTGAAGGTGAAGGATTCTGTACTTGATAGAATCTTTGTGACTTTTCAGGGATGAAAAGAAAGATGTGTAACATCTCCTTTTTTTCTTGTATGTTAATATTTATGTATTTATGACAGTAAATTACTAAAATCATCTTTATGGTTTGGTCAAAATTACACGTTTGGTCCCTGACCTTTTTTTTGCGCTCGGATCGACCATGTGGTTTTATTTTGTTGCGGTTTTTGTCCCTATGTTTGGTCCAAATTTCACGTTTACTTCCTAACTTTATGTATGTAAGGGACGAAAAACGTAACAAAATCAAACTACAGGAATGACCCGAGTGCAAAAAAAAATTAGGGACCAAACTTACAATTTTGACCAAACCATAAGGACTATTTTAGTAATTTACTCTATTTATTATTTAATTTAATTATTTTAATTTTAAAAACAAAGAAAACAACATAATAACCTAAACTGAAATAGAAATGGAGAGAAGGGGTTGAAAGGAGCATGTTTGAAACTTTAATTGTTAGACTACTTGAAACTTAGGGACCATTTGTGTCAAATTTGCCAAAATGAAATGCTGTTTTAAAAAATTCGTAATAAATAGTGAAAATCGTAGGAGGAAGTGCAATATACTAATATGTCCCTCAAAATTTATAATGTTGAACTTTCGTTGTAAGGAATAATGATACATAATTGATGGTTTTGAGGAGGCTAAGGTAGTCTCGAACACAGTTCTGTTTTGGTGTTTTGGGGCATATTCTAGGAAAATAAACCAAATACCTAATATATATATATATATATATATATATATATATATATATATATATATATATATATATATATATATATATATATATATATTCTAATAAAAGAATCAGTGGCGGATCCAGAAAGAAAAATCAGGGGTTATAATTTTTTTTTTAAGGGTTGCACTATTAGAAAAAAAAAAAAAAACATCCTTTCTGAAGGTAGTTTCTGTCACATAATCACCAATAGAGTGATGAATTTACACAAAATTCACAATTATCAAACTTTGTGATAGATTACTAACGGATTTGTGATTGATTTCCAACGGATTTGTGACGAATTTTCACTAAATTTATATTTGACGCGAAAATTGGAGGGGTAGCTCGTGCTACACCATGCTACAACGTAAATCCGTCCATGAAAAAAATAGTTTTTAATCTCCTTTTAACATGTGTCATCTTACTAATTAATATATATATATATATATTTTTTTTTGTCATGTATCATCCTATTAGGCCTCCTAATTAATGAATGTCACTTGTCAACCTATTAATTCTTTATTCCAAATTTTAAAATTTAAATTTCTCACTCTAATTATATTAAACTAACAACATTATAATAATAATTAAAATAAATTAATACAAATTATAAGTTAAATAATTTCATGTATTTATTTAAATTAACGATTATAATTTTATATAACTAAAAAAATATCTTTTAATTAATAATTTATTCAAAATAATTGATTAATAATTTTGAGTTCTCACTATAAAAGTTCAATTAATTTTATAACAGTGGTTCCCACGGGTTATAAACAAGTATATATATATATATATATATATATATATATATATATATATATATATATATATATATATATATATATATATATATATATATATACTAGATGTGAGACCCGTGTACTACACGGGTTGGTTAAAAAAATAACTATATATAAAAATATGAATATTAAGTATTTTTTTAAAGAAAACATTAAATATCAATTTGTAAAAATTAAATAATTTTTAAAGTGAAATTTCAAGATATATACAAACAAAATGATGAATAAATAAATAATTCAATTTATACTAATAAACTACATAAAAATAATTATATTTTGGCCACATAACCATTTGTTTGGTTTATGAATGAAAAAGAACAAAGTTTGATTATTTTTTACATGTAGACCATTTTGCTTAAAATGATAATGAACTTTGAAATGATAATGACAAAGTTTGATTATTTTTTACATGTAGACCATTTTTTTTTTTTTTTTTTTTTTTTTTAACTTATACTATATATTAACTTTCAACTAATTAGTTACTACAAATCAAAAGTTTTCTTATTTATTGTACTTAATTGTCCTTAATTTATATAGTTCATATTTAGATCATATTTCTAGAATTTGTAAAATAAGATGGAGGTAGAATAAGATGGAGAGAAATATGACTAAGAATATACAAACCTTCATTTTGGTATGCATGTTTTTGTATAAAATAAGAAAGAGATAATCATGGTACTCAAAGATATTAATTTATATAAGTTAATATATTTGTTGATATTTTTTCTTATTGTTCATATGGTATTCTTTTGTGAAATTGTAGTCCATATTTTATTTATAACCATTTTTATTCTATAATTCTTTCATGCGATTGCATATGCTGTTATTAATTTTATATATCAAAAATTGTTAGTCTTATTTACAAATTGTAGTTGTTAATTAACTAACAAATCTAAATACTAATGAATAATTTCTAATTAATAATCAGTTTAATATTTTTTGGTATATAACAAGAGAAATAAGTAGATATTGATAAAGTAGTATATTTAGAAGCAAAAGAATAAAATTAGGTTGTATTTATTTTTTATATTAAAGACTTCGTTTCTTTTTATATGATGACAATCACCATTAATACAAATAACACTACAAGAAAAGTTCTTATTAGTGACCAATTTTTAGTGACAACCTAAAATTTAGTCACTAACAACATCATTTAGTTACCAAAAATTTAGTTGTCACTGAATTTTAGTAATCCTACAAATTTAATGACAAATTATATATGGTAGTCATTAAATTGGTCCTTAAACCATCAATAAAATTAAATATTTTTGTTTCATATCAAAACAACTATTAGTGACTAAAAAAATAGTCATTGTGTTAGAGGCTTAGTGACCAAAAATAGTGGTCACTGTATTGAAGGTTGAGTGACCAAAAATAATGACCACTAACTACTCTTTATTATTCTAAACGAAAGCAGCTAAACTGTGACGACTTAGTGGTAATTGATTTACAAATTGAAAAACAATTAATGACTATCCATTGTTGTTATAAATTAATATTATTATTTATTTTTTTTGAAAATGGCCAGAGCTTTATTTTCTTTAAGAACTTAATTTTCTAAAGACTCATTTTATTTGATAAGTCCTTATCTACGTCCATGTACACTCATCCACGACTAACCAAAACCTTCTTCTCAAACATAGTAAAACATATTTACTATACTACCCTTCTCAATATAGACGGCCTTTCTTGGGCCCTTTTATCTTTTACTGACTTGGTCAAAAAGTTCGAGATGTCATAAAATGATTCTTGGGCCTCTCTCGTCAACACATCTATCCTATTTACCCTAAATCGACATACCAACAATCGGCGATTTGGCACAGGCGTCGTCGGTCAATCGATCTGACCCATCGTCCCCGGTCCGTCGACTCTGGTCAATCATCGCCGGTCCACACCCTCCCATGGACGCACCTCGGTTCTCCGCTAGAATTCAAACAGGTACTCTTTTCTCTACTCCAACCGTGGATGTAGCTACATCTTCTGCTCTCATGTGGCATACATAACTATCCTGTTAATCAATTTTTCAATTGCTAATCGATCGGATCATGATTCCTTCTACGAAATAGTAGCTAAAATCATAGCAACTAGAAACATGACTTTCTCAACAAACAGAAAAGCTTGATTAAATTAGCACATAGTTTACAATCAGCTGCTTTTTTGTTTATTATGCCATTCTACCAAACTGTTGAATTCGTATAATGCTCTGAGGTTATCTCCATACTTCTCTTTCATCAGTCACAATGGAAATCTAAGTGACACCACAAGTATTCTAATCTTGTTGTTATTCACACTCCATGGTATGTTTCTTATAAAAACCCTCCAGACTTCATTTTAGGTTTTTGATTGTTGAAATGCATAATAAATCAATAATGCAGTAGAAATGTACTTGTTATCTTCCAACTTCTTTTCATTTCAGTAGTTACCTAACTGTGATTGTTGATTACTGTCGGTTTATCTGTGGCATACTTGTCTGGTAGGCGATCACCAAGTGGTCTAATTTATGGAACTTACACTCAATATGATATCGATGCTATAAGGGCATTAGCTGAAGAACCTGGAATCATAGACATATTCCTCACATATCCTTCTTACCTCTTTCACTCCATTCTATTTCTTATAGTTACATGGGTGATGATTTTATATCATAAGGTTTCATTTCCTTAACTGCTATTCACTAATGAATGGCCCTATGGAATCTTGAATAGAGCTTTAACATCCAATATTCCTCTGGTAATATAAGATTCCACAGGTAGTGATGCTGCAATATCACAGTTAGTTGCAGAAATCAAGCCCTGGTAAGTTTAAAATTCAAATGTTATAAGTTTATTTATGGTTGATCTTAATTAAAGTTGCTCTTATGGTCTATGTATCCATGGTAGGTACCATGTTGCAGGATCTAAGGGTGTATATTATGCCAGAGAACCATATATGAATGATGAAGCTGCACATGCAACCCGTTTTTATTGGATTAGCCCCAGTATGAGATGCATCTAAGCAGGTTGGTTTTACATTTTTAGTCAACTATTTAACTATTTCACATTATTTGTTATCTGTTAATCCTTATTTTTGTTTGTTTGTTTGTTTGTTTGTTTGTTTGTTTTTGCTATGAGTAAATTTCTCTTAGAAATTTATTCATTCAATTTCTCCAACTCCAGCATCTACCATGTTTTCTACTGAGATATCTACCTAACCACCAAACACCACCTTATCTCCATATACACAAGCAGAACCAGAAAAAAATCTACTGAAAGTCTTTCTGATTCACAAGTATTTGCGATATGATGTCTCAAAAAGATAAAAACTTGGAAGTGGTGAGAGTGATAAGTTGTGTTTCAAATTCATTTTTCTGGTTCTTGTCCACGTGGCGACATGTGTAACTTTCGCCATGATATGGAAGCAAGGGAACAATCCATGAGAGGTGTATGTTTTGAGTTTTTGAATAAAAGAAAATGTGAAATAGGTGATGATTGCAGCTATAAACATAGTTTACAGGAGAAAGTCGAAGGGAATTCAAGATCAAAGGAATGTTGGTTTTGTTTATCGAGTCCAAATGTCGAATCACATTTGATTACCAGTGTTGGTAAGAATTGCTGTTGTGCTCTTGCTAAAGGACCATTGGTTCAACATCATGTACTTATATTACCAATTGAACATCTACCAAATACTCTCACTTCACCTCCAGAATGTGAGATAAAGTTGGTTAATTCCAGAAGATTCTTAAAGATTATTTCAAGAGCCATGGAAAAGAAGTTGTTTTCTTTGAGTGGGTTTATGTAAGAGCAACTCATGCTAATCTACAAGCGATTCCAGTTCCTTTATCAAGAACATCTGTTGTTTAGGATATCTTCAATTTAGCAGCTGAAAAGTTGGGATTCAAGTTTATGGTGCTAAAAAAGTAAGTGACTGTTTCTTTTTTACTTAATGAGCTTAATGTTTTAAGTACTTTTTTTTATCCAGACGGAATGACTTAATGGGTTAAGCCAAAAAAACCTGACTTAATGTAAGGGTAAAATGGTCATTAGGTTGAATCTTGATCTAGTTTTTTTTTATTGTTATTTTAGGTGACAAGAAAAGTATGGAAAAGTGAGTCAACAACCGACTACAAGTGAAACCACAAGTAATATGGTTCAAAAAAAGATTCCTTGCATTTTTCATTCCTGTTTACTGTTTCTTAACGTTTTTTTGGCCATGAATTGTCTATGTAAACAGCCATTTCGTTAATTTTATGAAAATGACCATTTTGACCTCATATTTATATTTTAGTAAAAAATTATTCTGCCAGTCCCATCCAATTTCTGAATATTCTGGTGCTCGCATGTAGTAGGTTGGTGGCTAATAATTCATTAACTATTAATTCTGATATCTTTAGATTATGGATTCGTAATTAGGTTTGATTTCATAAAAATTTCAGTTTTTATGAAGAAGATAAGGGTAAAATGGTAATTTTATTCTGGATTTAACGAAATGACTTGTAACTTTTACGAGGCGAAAAATGTTAAGTAGTAAAATAGGGACGGAAAATTCAGCAAGATTCATCTCTGCTCTAAATTGTGTATCCAAAAAAAAGTGATACAACGCAGAGATTGTAGGAAAATTCAGTTTGTGCCCTCAAGCTTATTCGTGCTTGCAAGGAGAGTTTTGTCATTCATTCATGGCAGAGTATTTTTGTGTCCCGATCAACTCAGAAAGATAAAAACAATTAGTGACTATCAGTTGTGATTAATACATTCTTATGCTCCTATGCAGGTAGGTTGGAACTTTATGGGGTACACTTGGAAAACTCGTTCCTCGTCATCTGGAAGAAAATTCAATCAAATTTACTTTTAATCTGCATTGATCTTTATATATATGGATTTTGTTTTTTTAAAATGACATTTAATATTTCATATTATAAATGTGAAGATTTATTTGGTTATTGTTGTATTGCAAAGATTTATAGAATTTTCCTTTTCTTTTCTCTAATTGTATTTCATATTAAAATCAACATTTAATATTTCAATAATTCCTTATTATTAACCTCTTTTTTTGTCTAATTGGATAAATCAGTAACGACCTGTTATAGTCACTAATCGGATACACCAGTGACGACTTTCTATGGTCATTAATCGGATAAGATATTGACGACTTTTATTGGTCACTGGGTAGATATAATAGTGACGACTTTCATAGACTAGTGACAACTTTTAGTGACGAAACTGCTCGTCACAGATTTAGTGACGCATATATTTTAGTCACTATTTAGTGACCATATTTTATTTTGGTCACTAAATCGGTTTGTGACGGACCTATAGTGACGAAAAGTGACGACCGGAATTTAGGTCACTAAATCATTTAGTGACGACTTGTTCTATTGTTAATGACTATTTCGTTTTGGTCACTAATTGGCATTTTTTTGTAGTGTAATGAATGAAAATTAAAACTTTGGAATAAAATACCAAAACGATAATTTTAAAACCAAATAGACGACAAGTAAATAGCAAACCACCGAGATAATGTTTTCACTTTATTTGATAAAACAAAGTTTTTTAAAATATTTCAAGAAAAAATAAATATTATAAAAAACAATTATATTACATACTAAGAAAAACCTAAATTTTCTTTTACTGTTTTCCAAATTAGGTTTACATATGTGTAATATAATTTTTATTTAGTAAATTAGGATTATATATACATAGTAACTAAAAACCATGGTTAAAAAGAAATATTTTAAAATTTTCATAATAACTATTTTAATTGTATGATTACAAACTAGTGTAACGCCTGAATGGTTGTGACGTGTGTTAATCCTTGTTGGATTCATGGGGTGTCATTTGAAATCTATGTTGCAGTTTGAGTTGAGTTCCCCACTACATGATATTGATGTTACACGTCCTTTACTTTAGCTCCTGTATGTGACAATTTGGAAATCCCCGTCATTGACTGTCATTAGAGATTAGCATAGACAAATGATGATATTATTTCATATTTTAGGAAAAATATGATTAGTTCTATGATAGGGTCAAAAAGAATTGACCAAAAAGTTACACCACTTTTAATAATGGTCAGTATATTTGGAAAGTACATGACAAAGTGGTCTCAAGGATATATACTTTGTGAAAGACAATGGTCAAAAACGGAGTTCGTATGAAAAAGATACAAGTTTTAGAAAATTATAAAATACTGGTTAAAAAATAAAATTAAAATTTAGCAACACAACCTTAAGGAATGTTGTAGTACTAGTAGAGAGCTACACAAATATATAAAAAGGATAAGAAACATGATTTGTATAAGGGAGATATGAATTTTTATAAAAGCTTTAGAGTTTAACGCCAAATGCGCGCCATGCTTGACATGCACATCTAACACCCATATTCATCCAGATTAGAGAGACATGGACCATCCAAAGTGTGACACGTGGCAAACTCTAGATGGAGCCACGAGTCGAGTGCACACCGCACGCACAAGCACTATAAATAGAGGTGCTCACTTTCTGATTTCTTCACACCCAAAACTCCCTCTCTCTATCTCTCAAGCTATTTCGGAAGTCCTCCTAATGGTGCGAAGTTTCGGGTGCAGTAGCATAGAGGCCTCAGATTACGCTACTAGAGTGAGTTAACGCCCCCATTGTATTATTTTATAAGTTTTACTAGGGGAGGGGGAATACATTCTTATCAAATTGGTTTATCAAAATATATTTATATCTATAAATATCAATCGTTATGTAAAACATGAAACCTTAGGATAATCTAGCTATAGATACTATACTTGGTTGTAAGCTATGATATTATGCCTAAGAGTTATGAGGGCTGATAGTCTAGGAAGAAATATTACCTAGATGTTATAATGGCCAATTTCCTAGGATAATATAGTACCTAGAAATAATGATGGTCAAATATAGGGATATGTGCTATACCTTATCATTAGTCTTCGCTAATATTCATTTTTCAAATTAACCATAATTAGGTTATATATGTATGGCATATATATAATAGATAATTATGAGATCTAAAAGATATAATTATCAAATATTAAATTTAAAGATTTATATTGTGATAGTTATAGGAAATTGTTAAGAAAGAAAAGATAAAAGATAAAATACTTAAGGTTAATGCATTAGTGAGATGTTATTATTCATTATCATCCTTAATTAAATTTGGCAACCTCGAACCTATAGTCGTTAATCTTGGGAGAGCAGAAATATATGTGTAGATATATACAGGGTTTGACACCCCCACCTACGATTGCTAGCTACAATCCTGACATGATAACTTTCTTATCTTTCACTATTTGACGTCCAATGAAGTGTCGTGAGGGGAATCACTATTCAAACATTGTTGATTATCGGGGCTCAAGGTAATACATTACAACCAGCTTAGACATCCAACTACCAAGAGGGACACCTTAGAGTTATAGTTAAAATATGTTAGGATTAATAAAATATCCTAAAAGATAAGATATGGTCGGTAAATATCATACATAGATAGTAAGTTAGGATCAATAAAATATCGTAAAAGATAAGAATATAGGATCGGTAAATATCCTAAAAAGATAGTACTTTAGGATTAATATAATATCTTAAAAGATAATAAGATAGGATCGGTAAATATCCTACAAAGATAGTAAGTTAGGATTGGTAAAGCATCGTGTAAAGATAAAATGATTGGATTAGCAGAACGTCCTAAAAAGATAATAAGATAAGAGACCGTGAATTTAAGAAAAATGATTTTTTTTATCATTGTAAAAAAATTCTAGAGAGTTTTCAAAGAAAGTTTATCCTATGTTTATCTCAAAATCTATGAACTCACCAACATCAACTTGGCATCTCTAAAAATCACATTTGTTCCTAGCATGGAGTAAGGATCAAGGCAAAGAAGGACTATCAGCTTGAAGATAGACATGTTTTGTTTAATAGGTGGTTATGTTCTCTGCTCTGTGATTTGGGTAATCTATGTAAATATCGTCACCACTCAGCATTTCCACCAACGGCTAGCAGGTTGTGACAGAATTGTATCAGAGCAAGTTGCTATAGCGAATTACTATTTCCTTAGGAACTACGACTATAGCTTAGGACATACAGTCCGATTAGGTTTTCCCTCAAACCTATAGATAAAAGTATGACTATTAATTACCCTACAGTTCGATCAGCCCAATGCACCAAATAAGTCATGACTCTCACGGTTGGCTGCATTTGCTACTTCAACTTGCATGTACAACTATAATGCATTTTCGTTCAAGAGTAGGTTAGGTGGTATATATTCCATTGCCATACCCCCACTCAAATGTGATGTTTGATTATACATCATCAAATAGCCGCACCTAGTCCTCATATCGAAGAACCATGCATCAAAATGGTTGTCTAGAAAACCACTCGACTTCGCCTTAGCTTAAGCTCTTTCTATATAGGTACTCTTTCAACCTATTAAGTGATCATTGTGTATGCACCTAATTTTAGGTTACTTCCTTTGCCCCCTCTAAGTGTATTCCGCATTTTAATTAATTTATTATTAATTCAAACACAAAGCTCATACAACTTTCTTTACTATTCATCACTAATTAATCATGCTTAGTTATTATATAATATTATAAGGCATATCACTTCAAGATTCTTCACCATATAAACATGCACCCATGACACATCAAATTAATGCATTTTACATCTCTAGCATGAAATTTTCCTACATCATAGACAAACACATTTTTCAATACCATAGCATGCATGAAACATCACATAACACATTCGAAAATATTCCTCACTCTAGCATGCACCTAACACCATAATTCACACCAATTAATCATAA